AGTGCTTTTGCTATGACTATATATGTATGTATACAAACACACTTTGGGGGGTTCATTTTACCAAAACAGCGTTTCACATCCTAACATTATTTGGTAATTTATTTTTCACTTAACAATTTCCCAATACCAACGTGCATTTTTTTTCTTTTTTTCTTTTTTTTTTTTTTTTGCGGTACGCGGGCCTCTCACTGTTGTGGCCTCTCCCATTGCGGAGCGCAGGCTCAGCGGCCCACGGCTCACGGGCGCAGCCGCTCCGAGGCTTGTGGGATCCTCCCAGACCGGGGCACAAACCCGTGTCCCCTGCATCGGCAGGCGGACTCTCAACCACTGCGCCACCAGGGAAGCCCCAACATGCATTTTTTATGGTATAGCTTTAATAGTCCTTAAGTTTTTAAATAAATAGATTTGGTAACAATCAAGATCTTAAAGGACAAGTGAAGACTGCCCGACTAAGCTGGGAAGCATTGAAGTGGGGAGCATCCTGTGCACTCTCCTTGGGAACTGGCTCTACCTCTGAGCAACTGTCTATCCTTGATAGACAGTTGTATTTTTCAGAGTGGCTTGTGTTTATCTTGTTTACTACGGATCCCTCTAATTATATCTTTGGCTTTTTAATGCCTGCTTTATTATATATATCTTAAGGCCCTTCTGAAGAATCTGACCCATTTGCAAATGGGACAAGTCATCCTCAAAAACCAAAAGACAAATTATTAAGTTAGCAAAAGGATCTTATTTATTAAACATATTGTTTTCAATATACTGTAATTTTTTTTTATCATGTTCAATAAGTAGTTTCCTCTGGGCTGTTTTAAAAAATTCAATAGGTGTGTGTGTTTGTGTGTGTGTGTGTGTGTGTGTGTGCACATGCATGTCTGTGAAGTCTGATTTGAGCCACTTTCTGTGCTTAGGTAAAATCCATTCACCAATTTTGGGGCAAGGCTAGCCCTTATACAAATCGGCAGGAGAGTACTGTAACAAAGAACATGGGTTTAGGAGTCAGACAAACTTATTTTCAAATGGGGCTCTTACTTCCTACCTATGAGACCTTGGGCAAATTATTAACCTCTCTAAGCCTCAGATTTCTTTTGTGGAAAATGGGGATAATAAGCAGAGCTGTTGTGAGGAGTCAATGAAATCAGCAGTGGTGGAACCAAGAGGTGACTTTTTTTTTTTAATTTTTTTTTATTTTTGGCTGTGTTGGGTCTTCCTTTCTGTGCGAGGGCTTTCTCTAGTTGCAGCGAGCAGGTGACACTCTTCATCGCGGTGCGCGGGCCTCTCACTGTCACGTCCCCTCTTGTTGCGGAGCACAGGCTCCAGACGCGCAGGCTCAGTAGTTGTGGCTCACGGGCCCAGTTGCCCCGTGGCATGTGGGGTCTTCCCAGACCAGGTCTCGAAACCGTGTCCCCTTCATTGGCAGGCAGATTCTCAACCACTGCGCCACCAGGGAATCCCCTAAGAGGTGAATTTTCACTTCTTGGGACTTTAGAGCACCACTATCATGTACATATAATCATGGTCCCAAATAAGCCCCAAATTTAAGAAAATACAGTGGGTCTGCCATGCAACCTCAGTTCAAGCCTCCTAGCCCTGTTGTCCAAACAAGTTACATTCTAAAACCTGCCCCATGTAGAAATTTTGGAGCCACTTCTGAAGAGTATGCACGTATATTACTTAGCATAGTGTATATTACTTAGCACAGTGTATAGTACGTAGCACAAACTTACATAGTAAGTAAATGCTAGCAATTGCTATTACTATTATTGTTATTCACTAGTTTACCAAGAGAAATTGTGATTTTTCCTTCCCTGTGCACTAACAAATTCATAGAGGAGGGTAAAGTCATACCTGCCCTTCTACGATGGTTCAAATTCACTGTTATGTCAAGAAGTTCACTGAATTCCAATAGTGTATTTTAACTTTTAGTACTCACTACTATCCATTCATTCATACACTTCTAACTTGAGTTATTCTAAAAAGGATTTAAAATTGCTAACCTTTGATGTATTTTGCATATGTAGTCACTTGGCTTTCTCACTTATCTTTCTTCAGTTTTTCTTTTCTTTTTTACTTTTTATATTTCTGATTATCCAAGTAAATAGTCCATTGTAGAAAATTGCCAAACTTTAAGTACATTTTCTTTTTCCTACGTATAAAAAAATTCTATGCATAAAACTGTTTCTATATATAAAAATGAACAGAATTGAAATCATATCATATATACAATATTGTCTTGCTACTTTCAATACATGTCATTACACACTTTTAAACATTTTTAGTGACCATCAGATGAATGTCCCATAAAGTTTTAGTCACTTCCTTGTGTTAGATATATAGATTGACTAAAATTGGTTTATTTTAATCCAGTGTGTAGATAAGGGTGGAGGTGATGGTAACAACTAAGGCAAAGAAAGAAAACATGACCAGTATGTGGATATTTCCTGTGGCTGGTGCTGGGAAATGTAGACAGCCATGGCCAAGTCAATGGATGCCAACAAGAGCAAGTGTCTTCTGGAGTGTTCCAGGAAAGAACATGTATCTCAGGGCTTTTAAAAGATTGGGATAATAATTCACCATGTCCCCAGATTTTGCCTCTAAAGTATTTCTCAAATGTATCCCTCCTTTCCGTCCTCCAGTGAGCTTATTTCAGGACACCCTCAGCCCTCCTCTGGATGATGACCTCCTAGCTGACCTTTCAGCCATTGCTGCACCTGTGTCAAATGCCAGTATTATCCTGTCAATTCCCTCAGCAGCCATGATCTATAGCACAGTGTCCACAGTTCTTAACAGCACAATCAAGGGCCCCCCAATAAACTGGCCCTGCCCCTTTCCAGCCTTAGTTCCTGAGGCCACAATCCTATTCCTTCCATTCCGGCAATGCCCCCTGCTGTGGCTCGCCCCACCCCACCACCCCCCCAGGCTGCCCTGCTGTCTCCAGGCTGGGTTGTTTCTGTGGCAACATTGTGTAACTGGCTTGGCTCTCCCACGGGTCTGAGAGCTCCTTGAAGTCAAGGACCAAGCCTGTATATCTCTGTGTCCTCAGTGCCTAGCACACAGTAAGAATACAACACGTTCCAGCACTGTTCTAAGCACTTCTCAGACACTGATTCATTTAATCCTGATGACACTATGAGGAAGGTGTTATTATAGTATCCATTTCATAGTTGAGGACAATGAGAGACTAAGCAGCTTGCCCAAGACACAACAGTCAGGAAGTAGCAGAATTAGGATTTGAACTCGGGTAATCTGGCTGCAACTATGGCTCTTAAACACAACTCTCATCTTCTCGATTTCTGTGTGTTTATTGAATGAATGAAAGATGATCCCTTTTCAGTTCCCCATCTCAATATGTTCAGAACCAAAACAGTTCTCTTCCAACAGCTTCTTTGTTCCCCCATGCCTGACCTCCACTGCTCCTCCAGGGTCTCAGAGAAGACTGGAGTCTTTGGCTTTCACCTCTCTCCTCCTTAACCCTATTCAATCTTTCGTCATGTCTAGGTGTTTTGTTTTTCCTTGGAAACATCTATCAGATTCTCCCCACAATTGCTGTCATCCTAGTCTGGTCTTTACCCCTTCAAACTAGATGACCACAGCAGCTTCTGGACTGGTTTCCCTGCCTTCACTACCTCACTCCGCTGGGGCTTTGGGGTTTCCATGCATTTCAATTTAACCTTCACAACAATCCATGAGCTAAATATTATTATCCATGTTTTATATATGAGGAACTGAATAATAGAACTCGGGTTCAAACAGGGTTTGTCTGGCTTTGAGCACTCTCCCATCTCCAAAAAGACTGGTGACTTTAAGCAAGTCACTTAACATTCCAAGAGCCTCGGACTCCTCACTCGTAAAATGGGGGTAACAACAGTAATTACTTCATTGTGAGTGCAACTGAGATAACTAAGCACAGTGCTTGACATACAGGAAGTGCTCAATGATAATCAGCAATTAAAGTTCACAAACCCCACAGCATATCCAGCATATAAGTTTGATAACTGTTCTGACCAAAATGCTTTCTGGAATCGCTTTCGAACCCATTTAGCCTGGAAGAAGTTGCTATACCTGGCCCTTTCTTTGTCCCTCAAAAGTTCTCTCTCTTGGGAAGCACCGTATGCTGTATGAAAAGAACGCACAGCAAAAGAAAACACACCCTAGTCTGGTAGACAGTGCACAGATTCTCTGGCTCTGCCCTGTCCAGGTTGTGTGAGCACAGGAAATCTTGAAACCTCTCTGAAATTCTCCCATCTACTAAATGGGAATAGTAATACCGCCCCCCCCGCAAGAATATTGAGATAATGCACATACAGCCTTCAGCGCATCGCTGGATATAGTAAGACCTTCATAAAGGAGTTGTTCAATATTATCATAGTCACATAATGTATACGAGCACGCTTTATTGTAAGTCGAGGACGAGATGGATTTCTAAATCAACATGTTATCAAAAATCAAGTACCAAAAGTAGAGGAAAGGTGAAAGGATTGTGCAAAGCAGGTACTACGGCGTATCTAGGAAACCCGACAGCCTTTCCCGCAAGGGAACAAGCAGCTCCTCCCCCTGACTCCTGAGGGGCGAGGCGAGAGAAGACCCGCCCTCCCCCACCACCCCCAGAGCCCCGTCTCCAGGGTCTTGTGACAAGGTGCCCAGGCCCCGCCGACAAGGGGCGGGGCCGGGTCTGGTCACGTGAGCATGGGTGCGGAAGTGGTGCGGCTGACGGCGTTCGTGACTGGCGGAGGCTGAGCAACCCGGGGGCGGAGCCAGGCGGCCAGACGCGCTGGGAGGAGCCGGGGGAGGGGGGCGGCCGCGGGGCCGGGCAATAGAGTCAGGGTTTCGGTCGGCTCTGCCGACCAAGTGCTGCACCCGCGGCGGGCCAGTGCACCCCGGCCTGCGCGCCCAGAGGTTCCGGGTCCCCCAGGCCGAGGCGCCGGCGGCCGCGCGAGGCGGGTGGGGTGGGCAGCGTTAGCTGTGCGCGGAGCAGGCGTGAGGCGGCCGGGGGCCGGGACGCCATGTCCATGGAGGACCCCTTCTTTGTGGTGAAAGGGTGAGTGTCGCCGAGGGCTCCACTGGAGGAGGAGGTGGCTGTGCTGCCTGCCCGCACCTCCCCACTCTCCTCGCTGTAGGGGGATGGGAAACAGGTAGAGGCTGGCGAGGGGACAGTGGGGACGACTTAGCCTTGAGGGCCATGATCAAGCGTCCAGAGACATCCCCTCCCCGTCCTACCTGGACTTTGAAACCCGTGACCCCAATTAAGCCCCTGGGGAGGGGGTCCCCTTTGGCCTGTGCGCTGCCCTACAACTTATTTGGAGGGGTGGAGGCGTTCAGCAGCTCTGCAGGTGGGAAGGGAGACAGGCGTCCCAGACCAAACTACAGCTGTAGTGGAGAACGGGGCCCTGCTTCGAAGGGGGGAAAACAGCATCTGGGCAGGAAAAGGGAAATGGCCCTCCTGAGCTTTGTAGTTGGCGTGCACGGGGGTGAGCTCCCATTGTCCATTGAGCTCGGAGCGCTGGCCCTCGGACTGGTGAGACCACAACATACCCAGAGGCGTCTGAGCACGTTTGCAGGCTGGGAGGCGGGGGCGCGAGGCTCCGGAAGACAGCTCAATTCAGTGGGGGAGTTTTTACTGAGTAATGGGAGGGGAGGAAAGCAGCCGTTCAAACTCAGTGATGATGTTGGAAGGAAAACAAAATGAAATCAGCCAAACCAAACTTTCCTTAGCTTTCTGTTAGCACCGGGATTTTCCCACAGTGCTAAAGGAAATGAGTGCTTTCTTTTTAACTCCCTGATTTCATCCAAGCTATTTGACAGGTTTCCCCCGTTTCTTCTGCCTTTCAGACTAGAACAGCCTTAACTTATTTTTCCCTATGAGCTGTCGTGACTCCATCTTTGATTGCTCAGTCGTTTGGAGATAGAAACTTTATTTGCACTGTTACATAGACTTTATAGCCATTAAACAAATTCAGGAAAGATCGATTCTGTTGTTGTTATAACTTGTCAGCTTTTGTTTTAAATGTCAAACAAACGTTAAAATTCTGAGAACTGCAAAGTTCCGGAAAGATCAGTGCTGATAACCATATAAGTGTCCCTTTGCTTTAAACTACTTGCTGCTAGCTTCCTATTTTTGTAGGGGTAAAAGGTGACCAGTTGCTTGAGTGTGTGTGTGTGTGTTTTAAGGGTTCCTCTCAGAAAATTTAAGTGGTACTTCAGGTGAAATATTTATTATCAATGATACAGTAAGATATATATTTTTTAACGTTTCCCTAAAAAGATTTTCCTTCACCTGACTTTAATTTAGATAGGAAAATGCTGAGTTTAGATTATTAGTAATATGTGGCTCTCTATCTGGAAAATATGTTGCTTATTAGAAGGATTGATTTTTAGGGGTTTTTTGTTTGTTTGTTTTTCTGTTTTTTTTTTTTTGCGGTACGCAGGCCTCTCACTGTTGTGGCCTCTCCCGTTGCGGAGCACAGGCTCCGGACGCGCAGGCCCAGCGGCCATGGCTCACGGGCCCAGCCGCTCCGCGGCATGTGTTGGCGTGCACGGGGGTGAGCTCCCATTGTCCATTGAGCTCGGAGCGCTGGCCCTCGGACTGGTGAGACCACAACATACCCAGAGGCGTCTGAGCACGTTTGCAGGCTGGGAGGCGGGGGCGCGAGGCTCCGGAAGACAGCTCAATTCAGTGGGGGAGTTTTTACTGAGTAATGGGAGGGGAGGAAAGCAGCCGTTCAAACTCAGTGATGATGTTGGAAGGAAAACAAAATGAAATCAGCCAAACCAAACTTTCCTTAGCTTTCTGTTAGCACCGGGATTTTCCCACAGTGCTAAAGGAAATGAGTGCTTTCTTTTTAACTCCCTGATTTCATCCAAGCTATTTGACAGGTTTCCCCCGTTTCTTCTGCCTTTCAGACTAGAACAGCCTTAACTTATTTTTCCCTATGAGCTGTCGTGACTCCATCTTTGATTGCTCAGTCGTTTGGAGATAGAAACTTTATTTGCACTGTTACATAGACTTTATAGCCATTAAACAAATTCAGGAAAGATCGATTCTGTTGTTGTTATAACTTGTCAGCTTTTGTTTTAAATGTCAAACAAACGTTAAAATTCTGAGAACTGCAAAGTTCCGGAAAGATCAGTGCTGATAACCATATAAGTGTCCCTTTGCTTTAAACTACTTGCTGCTAGCTTCCTATTTTTGTAGGGGTAAAAGGTGACCAGTTGCTTGAGTGTGTGTGTGTGTGTTTTAAGGGTTCCTCTCAGAAAATTTAAGTGGTACTTCAGGTGAAATATTTATTATCAATGATACAGTAAGATATATATTTTTTAACGTTTCCCTAAAAAGATTTTCCTTCACCTGACTTTAATTTAGATAGGAAAATGCTGAGTTTAGATTATTAGTAATATGTGGCTCTCTATCTGGAAAATATGTTGCTTATTAGAAGGATTGATTTTTAGGGGTTTTTTGTTTGTTTGTTTTTCTGTTTTTTTTTTTTTGCGGTACGCAGGCCTCTCACTGTTGTGGCCTCTCCCGTTGCGGAGCACAGGCTCCGGACGCGCAGGCCCAGCGGCCATGGCTCACGGGCCCAGCCGCTCCGCGGCATGTGGGGTTTTCCCGGACCGGGGCACGAACCCATGTACCCTGCATGTCCCCTGCATCGGCAGGCGGACTCTCAACCACTGCGCCACCAGGGAAGCCCTAGGGGTTGATTTTTAAGTGTGAAAGCTGTGTGTTTTTTCCCTTGAATGAATGTTCTTAATGCTTAGGTTGCAAAGGTTATCTCTGGCAGTGGAGGCCATAGATAATCAGAATTTTTGGTTTGATTTTTAATGGAATTTGTGAAAATGTTAAATTGCTCTGCCATCTTGACTTTTTTTTCCTGCTAGTATCCAATACGGTTTGCCAAGGCTTGCTCACTGATTACATATCACTGCTTTATTGGAACATTGGCCTGGAGTGTTGGTTGACTTTTACATGGTTTTAGCTCATGTTGTTAAGATGTCAAAACCTTCTGCTGAGGAAAAGTAAAATTAACTATACGAGTATCTCCAGATTATGCGACGGAATATATGGGGAGACATTCATGTAGTTCTCTTTATTAAAAGTTTTGAAGAAGCGAAATTGAGCTACTTGTAATGAGGTGGATAGACCTAGAGTCTGTCATACAGAGTGAAGTAAGTCAGAAAGAGAAAGACAAATACCGCATGCTAACACATATATATGGAATTTAAGAAAAAAAATGTCATGAAGAGCCTAGGGGTAAGACGGGAATAAAGACACAGACCTACTAGAGAATGGACTTGAGGGTATGGGGAGCGGGAAGGGTAAGCTGTGACAAAGTGAGAGAGAGGCATGGACATATATACACTACCAAACGTAATGTAGATAGCTAGTGGGAAGCAGCCGCATAGCACTGGGAGATCAGCTCGGTGCTCGCCTGGAGGGGTGGGATAGGGAGGGTGGGAGGGAGGGAAGAGATATGGGAACATATGTATACGTATAACTGATTCACTTTGTTATGAAGCAGAAACTAACACACCATTGTAAAGCAATTATACTCCAATAAAGAAGTAAAAAAAAAAAGTTTTGAAAGTGCACTGCACAGTGTGGAAAAATTAAAAATGCCTAAATTGTGGCACTTAGCCTAGGAGCTGATATTCTAATCTGAGAAACAGCTCACCCCAGAATTAAGTAGAAATGACAGGTGGAAATGATTTAAGTGCCGAAGTGAATCCTACAGATGATTAACTCCCCCAGTAGTTCAGAGAAAGGCATATCATTAGGAACAGTTATGACTGGAACAGCTTTGGAGGTAGTAGTAGGTCTTGAATTAAGTTTCGAAGATGGGGAGCATTTAGATAATTCAGGCCTGTGTCTCTTCTGGACTCATCAAGAAGAGTCTCTTATTGGTCTTCCTGCTTCCAAACTCTTTCCTCTTGCATCTGCCTTGGTTCTGTTGGATGAGTGCTCTCCAGAATGCAGGGTGAGCCACACATTCCATTTTACATTTCTTAGTAGACACAGTACAAAGTAAAAAACAGGTGAAGTTAATTTTAATGTCATCGTTAACCTAGTATAGTGAAAATATTTCAACGTGTGACCTAAAGATTATTAAAGGAGATTTTACCCTTTTTGTACTGTCTTCAAAATCTGGTGTGTATTTTTCACTTACAGCACATCTCAATTTGGATGCTAAATTTTCATCAGGAACACTTGATGTGTATTTAGAGTTCATTAAAATTACAGTTGAAAAAGTATTCAATAGATTCACATAACCAAATTGTTCCAAATTTACTTTTAAAATTTTTGGCAACTGAATTGCGTATCAGTTTTTAAATTTAAATTAATTAAAATTTAGTTCCACAGTCACACTAGCATGGTTCAGCAATCACGTGTGGCATCCATATTGGGCAGCACAGGTGTAGCTTTTCTAGAACCCAAGCAGGAGTTCCCTACTTAACATCACTGAGTGGCTGCCTCTTGCCTACAGAATAAAATCTCAGCACTTCCTGACCTCCTTGACATAGCCTTCCTCTACCCTCCGCTCACTCTGCCTGCACTTAGCACAGAGCTGCGGCTTCACCAGACTCAGTACAGTGACGGTGACCGCAGGACTGGATGCTCTTACTCTACACGCATCCACTCTGCCTGATGCACCCACTCAGCTTTCAGGATTCAGTGTCAGCATCTCCACTGCCTCCAGGAAGTGCTTCCCTGGCACCTGTAACACGTTATTGCACCTCTTCCTCTGGCTGTCTTTCATTACTTGACTGTGAGCTCTGAAGGTTGGAACTGTTTCTTTTTCCTGTATTTCCAGCCCAGCACCTTGAATATATAGCATAAATGTTGAATAAATTCTCTTTGGTGGTTGTGGTTAAGGAGTGGTGGTTCGTGGGTGGGAACACTACCAGCAAAGGCGGGCATTGTGTGTTTAGAAATCATCAAGGAGAGCATCCCAGGTGCAGTAGGAAGTTTATTGGGAGAAGTAATAATAATAATAGCTAACATTTAAAGGATGCAACTCCTATGTCAGGCGTCGCATGCTAAGT